TCAAATTCTAGGAAGTCATAATGGCAGAAACTGTGCTTTGTTGAAATGAGGTCATTAGTATCTATGTTAAACACATTCTTGACATACTCAGTATAACAATAAATCCTCTTAATGCTCATTAGACGTTAATTAATTAATAGTTCAGCAAACAATTAACGACGCGCTGATAAAATTTTCTCAGAGCATTTTTACATGGACGTTGGCCATTGTAATTATAGCAAATATAGTAATAACTGGTTAGTTACCAGTTAGTTTAAAAGTGATGGTAATTCAAAAAACTAGGGAAATTAATCAGTCTTTACAAGTAATCGCCACAAATAAAAAGGTTTGCCGTACGATATGCATGACAGTTATATGCTTTAGTTGCCCGATATCGGCGATTCCGACAAATGAGCAGCTTTTTAGCGAGAAAAGGAGGCTTGCGAAATTCCAGATAAATATTTCTAGTTCGCGTAAAATATGGCTAAATGGACTCAGCTCGCCACATTGATATTTTATAAGTATATACATACATACAGTTACTAACAATAAAATAGAATTAAATAGATAGTTTCGAAATAATTAACAATATTTGTTTTGCCTGTAATCGATGCCTACAATATTTATCTTTTAAAACACCACGATGGTAGTGATGTTGCATTTTACTGTTATGTTTGTTTACAACTCAAACAAAAATGTGCTTTTGTTGTCCTTGCAAAAAAATTTAATTATCTATTATAAGCGTTATGTAGAAAACAATTTTTGGTAGTAAACAATTTTTGGTAGAACTTGACATTTCATTATAATTAAAAATGTTAAAAAACATGCAAAATAACGGTTATACCCAAAAAGAAATTGCAAAAATTATAAAAATATTTCAAAAAATTGTGTTTGCTGCTTTGAAACCTCCAAAAGAATGTGCATTAAGGGGACGGCCAAGAAAAACGACGTCTCAGGATGATAATTACATAGAGATTTTATTAAAACGCGATCCTTTGAAGTCCTCTGTAACTATCCAAAGAGAATTGGTTGTAAAAATTTCCTTGACAACTGTTGCGCGTCGCCTTGTAGAAAAGAATCTCTTCGGAAGATTATGCCTAAGAGTTCCAATGTTGACAAAAACGACAGCGGAACAATAGGATTGCTTTGGTTTCAGCGCATATCAATTGGACCGGTGAAAAAAAAGCGAAAAAGAAGTGGGTAAGATTCTTTGGTCTGATAAAATTAAAATAAATATAGTAGGTAGCGATGTCCGAAGAATGCTGTAATGACTACCCGATACACGACAAAAACTTAAAAAAACGGAGGTGGCAATATCTTGATCTGGAGATGTTTTTCGTGGAACGGAGCTGGACCGCTATTTTGGATTCGGGAAATCATGGACCCTTATCACTACCTTGGAATTTGAGAAGATATAATGCTTGCTTATACTGAATGGAACATGCGAGGGATTTAAATTATATAGAAAACCGGTGTAAGATTGTAAAAGAAAATTTGGGACCCATTAAACCACATAATAAGGAGGAACTATGTGAAAAATTCCAAAAGGCGTGGTATTCAATAACGAATTTAGTCTATAAAGCTCTAGTGGAATCTATGCCAAAAAAGTGCACTGCAGTCTTCGCAAATAGAGAAAATTTTTAGTTTTAGTTAAAATAGTCTATTATTTACAAGTTTTGATTCCATGATTCTATTTTATTGTCAATTGAAGTTCCTGACAGTTACTTGAAAAGTTGTCTGCTGATAACATTTAAATTGATATTAAGTTGATTTTGCTTTTGAAATGTTTAAAATAAGTTTTATTAACTATAGAAAATAGTCGTTTCCTCCTAAGAATTGTGGTAAAATTTTTTTAGCAAATAGTTGTAAATAAAATTTTGATGCTATTTTATTATCAGTAAATGTATGTATAGGGCTTCGACGTTTCCTTTGGGTGTTACAAACATCGAGGCAAAATTAGTATACCCTGTGCAGGGTATAAAAATCGAAAATATTTTACTGATGTCCCGAAAACGGCTTTTATGAGGAATAATGTGAAACAAGTCTACGATCTTCTATACCAAAAAGGTCTCACCGCTCAAAGGGCTTATACGATAGAATTAGGCTACGAACTGCTGCCCCATCCATCGTATTCATAAGATTTGGCATCGTGCGACTACTTTTTGTTTGCAAATACACGGTGTATAGAAATTCGAGGCGAGTTAAAAGGTTATCGCTGCCACGGAGATCCGCTTTGTCTACTTTGCTGGCCTCTTGAAAGCAAAACTTTCATATTATAATTGAAATTAAAGTACTGTTATTATTTAATATACCGAATAATTTGCAACTCATATTAATACACATACATATGTAAATATATATGTATGTACGACCACCATGCCACAGCTTATTCATATTTTCGAAGAAACTATGCATTTTCGATTTTACCAACTCTTCTCATTTTCACACAATTCTAAACGCTTATCATGCTAATAAATAATGCAATAATTCCTATATTAGCTTGTAATGAAAATCTTCACTTCTACTTCTGTACACATTGATGGCACCTAAGTGAACAAATCTACCAGCAAAGTTGTTAACGCTACTCATTAGCAATTTAATTACCACCACAATTTTCCTTATACGCTTTTGACCCGATTTACGAGCGTCGAGGTAGAAAGAAGCGCAAGGCTAACAGGAGATTAACTATTGCCATTGGCGTTCGCTGCAGGCAACACATGCAACACATGTACCTGCCACAAATATATGTATGTATATGATATATATTTAGCTGCGCACATGTGGCACATAGCATGTTGCTAATTTTTTCTGATCGTTGCACATTTTCCCCCAACACTTTGTTTGGTAAACACTTGGGTGTGCTGCGCGCACTGCGCTTACATAGTAGAAATTGCCAACGACTCATGAACTACTCATGAGAAAAATGGGCTCGGAGGGGCGGTAAATCTACTGCAAAAAACTTTGGCATTGACAGCGATGAGTGTGTGTCGAGCATATCCGCTAGTTGATGCGTTAGCATTGGTTTGAGTGGGGCATGAGGTGTGCTAGTACTGCTAGCGCTACAAAATAGAAAATACCATTTCTGCACAAATATATGAATGAACAAAAGTGGTGGCGGCCAGACAATAGCAAAAATAGACTAAGCAAATACGACATAATTGTGAGTGTGTGTATGTAGTTAAAAGTCAGAAGGCAAATAGCGCTGACAACTAGGCAGACAGACAGGCTGTCATGTACTTAAATGGGTGAATAGGTAAAGATGTCATCATAAAAGTACACACACATACATATAAACATATTATACATACATACATCGATAAACATCAAAAGTTGTAGTGCAGTTAGAGTTGGCAATGTAAAACCGTAAGCACGGAAAATCCGGTAAGCAATGAAAGTAACAACAAGTGTGTCATTCAAATAGCCTACAAATTGTGTGATACTTTCGCTTGATAATCAGCGGTAAATATCTACCCACGGTTATCTTTATTACAGTCTACATATTAATTAGATGCGCCTGCAGAATTGTTGTGGATTTCTCATGATTTCGTTTCATTGTATTGTTCTCTTTTTTTCTATGCCTTTCTAGCACTTATTACTTTTTATACCCTGAACAAGGTATAATTAGTTTGCCACGATGTTTGTAATATCCAGCAGGAAACGTCGGAGACCTTATAAAATAAATATACATATATATTTTTTAAATGATCTGCGTGACGACTTCTTACACGAGACATACACTTCTTGTATGGAAAACCTTTTCCTCAGATAAGATATCACAAAATTTGGCATGTATTATTATCTTAAGCATTATTACAATATCTGAATAAATTTTTCAGTTTGGACGATTATAGCATATAGCTGCCTTACAAACTGAACGCTTGGAATCAAGTTTTTGTATGGAAAACCTTTCTATTTTACAAGATATCATCACCAAGTTTTGCATGGATTATTATCCAAGGCATTACTACAATATCTGAATTTTTTTTTTTTTTAGATCGAACCAATATAAGATTAGCTGTCATATAAACCGATCGATCAAAAGTACTTATTTGGAAACTCTTTTATTTGTGAATGGTATTCTAGCTTCGGTGCAATTGAAGTTAACGTTTTTTCTTGTTTGTAATTTTACTTTTACACTTACGCTTTCATTACTATTTATTCTGTAACACTTTATTGCTTTCACGGTTAATTCTTTCACTTCCTTGGCTTTTTTGTGAGTTTAATAATTTGAGCGCTCTGTTAAGATCACACCTTATGCGTGCGCCACTTAGTTTTCTTGCTAGCCGCCGCTCTATTTTTCGGGCCATTAAAATTATAATTTGGTGACGCATTTGCTTTTCGTAGACGAATTGGCAACGTCAGGTGCAATAAATAAATACAAAATTTGTAGACAACAAATGGCTTTTTATACAGTTTCTTATTTTCAGCTTCTGCATACACATAGATACATGTTTGTGGCTGAAAATTCATGCCAACTAACCGCACACTAGACAAACAAAAATGCAGACTTTCATGACATTTTTCGTTGGCTGCCACACAAATTTTTTTTGCTATATTTTTTTGTTGGTTTATTATTACGTGAGCTAACACACATAGTTTATATTGTATGTGTGTGTGTTTGTATGTATACACACTTCAAATGTGCATGCCGCCGAAGCTGCCAAATTCGTACGGGTTACGTTGTCTTGTCTGCTACCGGTCTGTCCGTCGACATTGTTTCTCATGTTTACCATTTAAGTAGTTGCCGTTGTCGTGTTGTTTCCGGTGCAGTGTCTCGTTTATTTTAACCAAAATATACCACAGTGGTGGTCACAACGCACTACACTGGTCGCGAGGGTATAAATAGCGCATAGCGAGAAATGTATGAAGAAATTTAAAAATTCTTTTTTTTTTTTGTATTATTATTTTAGTGGTTGCTGGGGCCAACGACCCACAAACTATGAACAAATGCGTTTAACTTTAAATGTATTATTATTATTATTATTATGGTATTTATTCACGATAATTATGTAGCAACTTACCTAGACACAGCAAGCGCAAATGTATCACCTACAATTGAAAAAAAAAATTATATAAGTAAAATTACAAACACATATTTTAAGAGTTTTTTTTTATAATATTTTAAGAAGCAAATTGTTAGCATTAACAAAAACATTCACCAATATAAACTCGAATTGGTAGTGGGTGAAGGTAATGCAAGTAATTACTATACGAAATCATAAAATTTCAAAAGTTTAACTTAGAACTTTCGAAAGGAACTGATTTCGATTATATAAATAATTACAAAATTGTAATCAGCGTGTTATAAGAGTTTTTAAATTTCCCAATAAGAAAATATTTTATAAACTTAAAAATAACTTAAAATATAGTTCAAAAAGCATTTGTTGGCAATAACAAAAACATGCACCAATATAAGCTTGAATGGGTAATGGGTGAAGGTATTGCCTACAATTACTTTATGAAATCATAAAATATCAGAAGTTTTGCTTACAACTTTTGAATGGAACTGATTTCGACAACTGATCCTGAGGACACAATAATGTATATTAATAAATAACAAAATTGAATATAAATTACGTACATATGTTTTTTTATAGCATATTGGCTGTATTAAGAATAAACTAGCTATCTTGTGATAGTCGTTTCAATAAAATTATTTTATGCATTATCAATCATTACATTTTCCAGCCAATTTTAATTATCTTAGAAGGTTTCTTATTTGTGTGCAGTGACAAAACCATTCACCAACAAATACTTCAATTGGTAATGGGTGAAGGCAGTGCACATAAGTTTCTTTACGAAATCATAAAATTCCAAAAGTTTAGTTTGTCACTTTCGAAAGGAACTGATCTCGAACTTAAAACTAATTTTTGTGTATCAACAACGTAAACAATTCGACTCTTCGAAAAAAGGCAACATACATAAACTGTTTCCAAAAAAACTTGAGCATCTTCTTAAAAAATAATTCACTACAAAAAATTGTAAAAGTAAATGTGTATTTCTTCAAAAAATCATAAAGCGTCTATTTTTTTGAAGATTAATTTTGGAAAATTTTTCTTTTAGAAACATTTGTGAAAAAATAAAAAAAAATATAGGACACATACTTTTTTTTAAAGATATTCAATGTTTTAAACTCTTGCGCAGTTTCCTGATTTTGACAGTTCTACCTACTACAATATGGGTTGACAGTAATCGCTAATATACACAAAAAGGTGACAGATGACTCAATTGCTGCGGCAGTAGGCGATATACTCTCGTAAAGTATAATTTGGTATTATGTTGTTGAACGGCGGCTGTACTCGGAAATTTTATATGCATAATAGGGTTGAACATGTTTTAACAAATTTTATATGTTTAAAAAATGTATAGCATTGGCCTTTATCTTTACAATATTTAAATTCTGGCTATCAGCAAATACTTTGAATTTTATGGTAAAAATAGCATACCTGCAGTTAGTTGTGCTGGGAGGAAGTAACATAATTATATGTATAAAAGTATGGCTGGGTTGTGAAATAGCTATATAAGTTAACGTTACTATAAATATTTTAAAAACTATAACTATACTAGAAGTGTCCAAAATGTATATCTTTTTGAAAAGTACTTATTTGTTTTTTAATATCTATTTTGTCTCCTTCAAAGTAGTCCCCCTCGAATATAATACACGTGTGCCACCGCTTTTTTTAAACCTCGAAGCACTTTTCAAATGCACTTTTCGGGATGGTCATCAGCTTTTTCGTCGATTCTGACTTGATCTTAATTGTGGCAAAACGCTTTCATTTTATTGGTTTCTTTAGTGCTGGGAATAGGAAAAAGTCGCAGGGAACCAAATCTGGTGATTACGGCGCTTAGTATATGATTACGGTTTTTTTGGCCAAGAATTGATGTGTGACCTGGTGCACTATCGCAATTTCGGAACAAACCTCGCTGCCACACGTTTCATGCCCAAAACATTCGAGAAAATTAAATGGCATGTGTCGATTGATATGTCAACATCCTCTGCAACTTCCCTAATAGTAATATGACAATTTTAAGAACAATTTTTTTCACGGTTTCGTTGTTTTCTTGGTTTATAATATGTATGTATATATATTTTTAATTTGGGAAGCAGCCCATGCCAATTTTATGTCGATTTCGACCGATACCTAAAAGTTACCCAAAATAATATACGAGTAATCATATTAATATCATTTAATTTTGGTTATACCATAACTAAAATCATAGAATAAACCAAATGTACGTTTAACATTCTATAAAATTATCCAATATGAAAACTTATTATTTTTTTATAACCGTTTGAAACTAAATAGATGTTATAGTCACGCCAATGTTTTAATAACTTATGTTAATTAGTGTAGTTAATGTATGTATTTATGACAATTTCAATTATTTACGGCTGCGCGTCTAACAAACAAATCAGTGATTAGCTCCATCTAAAATTGCAAGTCAAAATGAACATTTGTATGTATGTATGTATGTATATGGTAAAGTTACCTGCCTGTACCATTATAAAAGTACCTAGTATATACATATCTGTACATATATACACTTCATACATACTCATTATCAATATCAAAATTATCTAATTAAATTATTTATTAATAATAAAATTATCACAATGAATTCAACTCTTTATAATATTGCCATTTTTCTCACCCCTGCATTTGCTCGCTTTTAATCAATATACCGCAGCACCAAGCGTCAGCATATAATATAATAAAAACACAAACAACAATCACTAAAACTAATTTTGTTCACCGCTATAGTAATTTACGAGACATTTGCAGACACAACAACACTTTTACTATTTGCGAATTTACACAAAGTGTAATTGATTATTTCGCTTATTTTTGCAACAATTTATTGTTTATGCACCCCGGCACTTGGTGCAAAAAAAAACATTAATTTCCGCGCGACACACGGAGCAAAAAATACTCAACCCTTCGACCAATCGACGGAACAGTACAAACAAGATTGCCAGATGTGATATAGTGATTACATATTTTTACATACTTTTCGAGCACTTGCAGGGTTGCTGTGCCGCAATCCACGACAGCTGCTTCTTTATTAAAGAATGTATAGATTATGTATATTTATTTTACCAAATATAGTTTAATTTATTACCACAGCTGTCCACCACATAGTATAATCGGTAGTTTACAATATTAAATATGGTTGTATGATCTACACGTATGTATGTATGTTGATATAATACTTCACGAATTAATCCCTAACCAGAAAGTTTATATTCAATCTCTGTTACACGTATTAATTTTGAACAAACTTTGCTCTTAGTAAAGAGATGTCGCTATTTTTAGTAATGCAACCCTGCGTGCGGCTGATTCTGACTTTTCTTGAAAGAGATAGTCAATATAGTGTTATAAAAATATAGCTGTCTTTTATTTGTGTCAAAGATTATACGTTATAACATAGCATACTTTCGAGCTGCGTATGGCGGCATTGCCAACTATTTGTTAACATTCTCTGCTCTGGTTGCAGTTGAATAAAATTTAATGAGTTTTTAAATTTTAGAATCGCAAAGATATTTGATTATTTTAGTTGATTTTATAGTACTGTATTAGAGGTTATTGCTCGTTTTACTATAAAAAAAAATAAAATTATTGGATAAAGGCACAAATACCAGACTTTTGGTAGATCACCTCTTCTTATTGGTCGGTTACGTCAGCTTGAAGTGGAACGGTCTGCGAAAGTCTGATAAATATGATATACTGCAGATAGGCAATATTCGTTAATAAAAACAAAACTGTTTCCCATAATTATAATTGCTTCCTCGAACAGAATTCAAACCCAAACCTTTCTTTTGAACGACGTTATCAAAAACGTTATCTACCATACGTTAATGTTGTTGTTATAGCGGCAGAATTCTGCCGAGTTGACAGTTCTTAGCCGGATAAAAATCCGAATCCGTTCCGATTACGTAAACCTGACTATGAACGTCTCAATATTTAGCTCAATTCCAGTTTGTTTGTTTAACCAAGAGCTCAAGCCAAAATATTATTATCATTTAATATTTCTCCAGTTCCGTTTCATTTAGTGGAATAGGGAATACAAATCGTGATATACAAAGCATTTCCCAATGCGTTTCTGAATATTTACAACTTCCGTTTGTGCTTGTCTTTTCCTCTAGTTTGTCATAAAAAACACACAACCAAAAGGGCAACGATTTGCCTTCGCCCAAAAAAGAAAAATAAAGGCATTTATATATTATGCGGCAAAAACGGACTTTGCATGTGCGGCGATTTCAAACCATATGACTGCGATAATCAGCAGTGACAACAACAAAGCGGAACGCGAAAACAACACATGGCGGGGCCATGCCAAACACCGTCATTGGAAGCAATAGCAACAATTGCTTTGAGCAATTCATTTTGGCTACACAAACCACTCCTTTTGGGAAACACATTTTTGGGGTGATGGAGAGACGAACTAGCTTATGGTTCATTTTCGCAAGTCGCCGTAGTCAACTCAACCTTCCAGCCGGGCTGCGTATGTCGAAATTGCTGAAAGTCAATTTGGCAAAGGGACCAGTCGTGTTCGTACTGTCGTCGAGTCGTGTTGTTAATCGTGCATTGGCGGACGCGTCGTTGCGAAGCGAAATACCAAGAAAAAAATCTTGAAAACAGAAGAGCAATTGTGATTTAGCAGAAATTCTTTTATTTGATATGCGTAAAATCTTAAGCGAATTGCATTGAAATTCGGAAATTAATTGTAAAACCAGTAAAAATTTATCGAAGCTGTGCGAAAAATTTAAATTTGTGAAAGTTTAGGTCGAAAATTACGGTGTGTGAATGTGTGTGACATATCCACAAGGCGTTTGACAGAGTGTAAAATTTGATTGCCTACATTTGGGTGCCAGCCAGACAAATCGCCAAGTTGTAGGCCATGCAAGAAAGCTAACAAGCAACCAGCAGTCAAAAAAAAAAAACAAAATCTATATGCATTGAATTAGTCAGCCAGCTCGCAGGTCGATCGCTTTAGCTTGTCCAACGGCATATCGATTTTGCCACAAAGCAAAGCAAATTTGCACTTTTCACACCCTAACTGCAGAATATAACATTACTGCTTATAGTCGCATTTTTTTATTAGCACAAAGTGGAAAAAATTAGATTTTGAAAACGATAAAAATCGATTTGCGCATGAAAACAGCGAGCATACCTTTAGGCCGAACGGCATTATAAAAACTTGTACGGCCATCCGGCGGTCAGGCAGCCAGACGGCTGGGCAATTGGTGGCACCGTTTTTGTGTACCATAAGGAAAATTTTCATACAGCGGCGAATGAACGTGTGAGATCACCAACGCCAGCGCTATTACCAATACAAATACATTTTGTTCTCGTACAAATATACATTGAAATATACATGAATGCTAATACAGCGCATCTAGCCGTCACAAAATTTATATACATATGTTTTCTAAGCTTCTTTCAGTGGAATGTCTTTTGCGTTACTACAAGGTGCCTTCGCTTTGTGTTCTCTAGAAAGTAAAAAAATGCGGATTTAGATTGTGATTTGAGGGGTTTTGTGCTTACTTCCATATTCTAGAAAAAGTTATATTTGTGAAAATTGCCTGTCATAGCAGCTTATTGAAGACTTGTTCTTGTTGAAGACTGCTTCTCAGGAATTTCTTGCATAGTTTTAGGCAAAAAGGAGTTTTTAGTATTCTTTCTTTACCTGTAGTAAAACTACACTGTAACCAATTTGAAAACTGACAGTTTATAGGCAGTTCAATAAATCGGCAACATTTTTCGCAATATTTTACTGCATGTATATACAATTTGAAGGAAATCACAGAGGTAGAGAGTTTCCTTGAAAAAATTTGCTGGAGACACCAGCGAAACTAAAGCTCTACTAAAGCTCTTTGGGTACCAATTTTTGCTCCGACGTATTCATTTTGGACGTAATCATTTGCTTATACTTAGGTAATATTAAATTTAAAATGACGGTGAGTGAGAAGTATGAAGCGGTTATTGTCCGATTTTCCTTTTAATATACAAAGACATAATATGAATAATATATTTGAATTTCAAATTGGTTAGGTGCCTTTTGAGAAGATAATTTTTAAGACTATTTTTAAGGATCAGTTCCATATTCTTATTTGTTAATTGTCTTCTATGATATAGATGCCTCTCTTAGTCAATTTTGACATTTTTAGGCCAACTCATTAGTGTTTCATATTACAGGATAATTGTAAAGGTTTAACGATCAAAGTTTTCAGAAATATTATTTTTCTTTACGTGACTCCTTAAAGTGAATTTATAAGTTAATTGGTTACAGAGTTGTATTTCTGCATACAATATATTGACAATAACCTGGTTTTACCCAACCTACTTTGGCGGTTACAAGATATGTGTATCAATTCTCAATTTAATCTCAAGTAATCAGTAGAACAAGTAAACATCGTCAATTAACTCATTTTAGTTGCTTTGAAAAAAAGGCTGTTAAATTATTTTATAATTTTTAAAACTTAAAAGCAAAATTCAAATTAAATTTTATTAGTAGGAGTCTTAATAGTGCTAATTTAGTTTCAATCTCGTTTTTAATTGGCAAGGAAATAATTTTCCTTATTTTGAGTAAATATTAAAGAGTGTATATATAAATGGTTTATTTAGTATTTAATTCGAATAGTACCGGCGGCTTTAAAGATCTTCAGTCGCACGATTTTTCAATAGAAAATTTGAACTTTGAAATTTTGAAAAGCGCTAAAGGTTTTCTTTTTTATAGAAAATTGGTTTATTAATGTGTTCCTTGTAGTATTTTTTTGACCTTGGTGAATGTTCATTAGGCCTTGAGATGACAACGTGCCTTTAGGCGAAGTATTAGGCATAGCTGAAAATTGTGAAAATAAGTATATCTTGAGATTACGTGGAATAGTTGAAATAATTACATTTATAGGTGTAATATTGATGCGTGAGTAAGCCTGACTTTAAGTAGAAATATAATATAATTATAGGAGTTGCAAATATTAGTGCCAAAATTAGGAGTACATAATCGAATATCTTATTTACAAACAGAAATTTAAAAATCATAAGAATCATATGCTATGTAAATGACTACTCATCTATATACAATTTTGTGAAGATTTTTTTCTTGTTCCCCTGAGTTGTGTAACATAAATTTTATATATAGCATGATATTTTTAACCAATTTTTTTATCTATCATGCGCCTTTTGATAGTTTAGAGCTAACACCTTTGTAATATGTACCGATGCTAACTATATCTGTAGAAGTTGTACCACCACATGTGTTATGCGCCTGTAAATATACAACATATCTCCTCGTACGCTTTGCACAGCTTTTCCACCAATTTTGTTGGCATAAAAAATTCAACGTCACCAACGTCGGAACACCCAAAGGCAATCAAATTTATAGCGCTCATCAACGACGTAAGTGCGATTTACGAAATACATACATACATACATACATATTTATATGTGTGTCTGTATAAGTAAATATGTGAGTTTTCACGCAAGCCGCTACGCTGGGTGTGGAGAAGACAATAGTTCACGGGCGCTGGCTATAAATAATTAAATTGCTTTTACAGTTTTACCTTCATTTTCTTTCCACAACGTCCCCAAAGAAAACTCAGTTCTGCCCACACGTTGTCACACATACACATAAGTTTATCGGCATACAGACTACTTCAAAATTGTATATGTTAACGAACATACATGCTAAATGTACTAATTGAAAGCGAAACATTACAACCACATACAA